TGCCATTTGGCATTGTGTAGGTGTGTGTGTGTATGTGAGAGTGGGACATGAGATGGTGGGGAGGGCTGGCAAGGAAAGGGGCGGAAGGCGTGTGTAATTATCAATGGCATTAACACCTTTAATTACAGCCAGAAAGCGAATGCAACGCGCGAATGTGTGTCAAGTGTGTGAGTGTATGTGTGTGTGTATGTGTGTGCGTGTGTGTGTGAGTGAGTGTGAAGGTGTGTGTGTTTGTGTGTGAGGGGCTAAGGTGCAGCAGCTAAAACACAATATGCAAATGAGCAGAGAGCCACACACACACACTCGCATACACACACACACACACACACACACACACACATATATATATATATATTCATGCATATCTCGAGGTCGACAGATCAAACAAAAAACTGAACGCAAGAGTCAAAGCTGAGCACATTAGAATAATGCCAGAGCGACAAGAGACTGTATCAAGGATATGCATAGAGAATGTATATATGTATGTATATGTATATGTGTGTGTGTGTATTTGTGTATATATAATACAGGTACATATATAAATGCAAATGCAATAAATGTATATATGTATGTGTGTGTGTGGAACAAACACATTGGCAAATATGCTGAAACGACAACGATCTCTCTCTCTCTCTCTCTCTCTCTCTCTCTCTCTCTCTCTGTCTCTCTCTCTCTCTCTCTCTCTCTCTGTTTTGGTGCTGATTTATGAGTATAACATACAGACATATATATATGGTATAAATATATATATATATATATTTACACTAACTCACACATATACGTGGCACACATATCCTGCTCCTCCTGCTGCTCCTCCTGCTGCTCCTGCTGCCGTGTGACTTTGCACATTTCTCTTGCTGGCGATTTGCTGGCCGTTTCTTGCCCTCAACGTAAATTTATTAGAATAGCTGGGCAGCAAAAAAAAAAAGAAAAGTAAAAAAAAGGAAGTCATTCCTTTGTCGCTTAGCAGGACACCAGCAGCATCAACACACACCCACACACACACCTACACACACATACACACACGCACACCTAGGCACACACTCATGCATATGCAAATTGTAACAGTCTGTCTGTGACCCACTTTGATTGTGGGCGTGACGCATTGCCACACACACACAGATATGCCACGCCTCCTCCCACTGCTCCCCCGTTTGCAATATTTCCTGTGTATTTTCAGTTTTGTGTGTCTGTTGTTGTTGTTGTTGTTGTTGTTGTTTTAGCATGACAAACAAAAATTATAATTGCACTTGAAATTGGCACATGGTCTGAAACACCCCACCCCATGGCAACCCCCACTTGGGGATAGCTGTGTGTGTGTGTGTGTGTGTGTGCTCAGCATGACAATTGTTATCTGACATTAAAGAGATTACGGTTCTGTTATTCAGTTACATGGGATTTGAACTTGAACTCAATTTCTTATAGATGATATTGCATGAGTATTGGAAGGGGCAGCGGTGGCAGCGGGGGCAGCGAGGGCGGCGGTGGCACCTCGAGGTGTTCAGCTGAATTATCAAGATAAACGAGGTAATTTTATCATGCATGACTCTGCCAACATTAATTGACTCTCTGTGTGTGTGTGAGTGTGTGTGAATGTGTTAGTGTGTGCAGTAAATGATGACAAATGCAGTGGAATTTCGAGAACTGATTTAAAGTTGAATATCAGAAGCTCGGCTGGAAACTGGGCAAATTTTGAATTTGGGAAATCGTACGAAAAGCTTGAAGCATCATTGAATATGCCGTGAGCTGCTCTTAAGTGGGGCACAATACGACCTAGGCGACCATTTTAGAGATAACACATTAAAAAACAAAAAACAAAACAAAAATATATATATATATCAAGAAATCTGCTAATCCAATAAAATAATAAATAACAAAAAAAAAAAAAAAAAAAAAAAAAAAAACAAAGAAATAAGAAAAATTGTGTTTTTCTTTGACTTAATATAAATTCATCGAATATGGACAATCTTATAGGGTTGCCTGGTGGCTTCGTCGAATATGGACAGCCCTGTCTTATAAATACGTCTAAGACAATAAAAAGCTGCAGAAAATTGAATTCCTCAATGCAAATAACGAACAAGACATAACTGTATATGATATACATATAACTACCCTATTATTCCAGATGAAATTCTCAATTTCTATTTCGTTTTTATTAGTTAGATTATTTGATAAACCAAAATAGATTATATCAGTTTAATTCTTGGAGTGGGATATATGGCAATATGTATTTAATTATGTTTCTATGGACACAATTCAGCTATTTAATTATTTATGTGTGTGTGTGTGTGTGTGTGTGTGTGTGTGTGTTTCAGTGTGTTTTGTGCTAGTATTCAGCATTCTATGAGCATGTGGAATACAATTATGGTCTGCTATATAGAGAAGCTCTAACTGGCAGTGGCAATAACAACAACAACAACAACAACAGCAACCAGAACAACAACAGGAACAACAACAGCAACCAGAACAACAACAAGAACAACAACAGCAACCAGAACAACAATCTGGCCTCCAAAAATATTTATGCAGATGTGCGAGCATTTGCAAAGGTCTCGTTGTTGTTGTTGTTGTTGGGTAAAAATCATTTTTGGCTTAATTTTGGGCCAGGCGACATTCACGCACACATTGAAATATTGGAATGCCCATCAGTGTGTGTGTGTGTGTGCGTGTGCGTGAGTCTTATGCTAGGTGTTTTTTGCATGTGTGTGTGTGCGTGTGTGTTGAGTTTGAGTTTGGCAAAACATTTTTTGGGTCATATCAGTTTGACAAACATGCGGATTATCCCTGGAATTATTAATTATTATAACTGCAAAGTACGAGGCTCGCTTCAGCTGTCTGTCTGTCTGTGTGTGTGTGTGTGTGTGTGTGTGTGTGTGTTGTCTTGTTGCCATATGAAAAGGACAACTGGCTTGACTAATTAGCCAGCCGAGCGAGATTTACAAAACTTTTGGATCCATGCAAAACTTTTTAGTCAACAAATGTAGATTCGAGATACAAAATAAAAGATACAAGATACAATTGTATCTTTCTGCTGGTATTATATATATTTCGTTACATTTTCTATATTTCGATACTTTTGCTATATTGAGATACAGTTGTATCTTATCCATTTGCTTTGCTGCAATTGCAGTATTTGCCACTTGCAGTTGCATTTGCCGCATTGAGATACTTTTCGTATCTCTCAGATACATTTCGCTTTGCTTGCGCATCTTTTGTTCAATTGTGCGGCTTTTGGAACGAGAATTTCTTGAGAAATTCTGTTAGTTTTCCATTGCGGCTGGCAGTTTTTCGCGCTGCCACGCCCCGTGCCGCCGCTGTGGCACTAATGCGCCTTTAATTTGCGGCCATGTTGCATGAAATGAGCTGCTAATGTGTTTCGGGCGCTGCGACGGCCCCAAAAAAGGCTCTACATGTGGCAGCAACAACAAACATTTCACTTGACGCGCCTAATGAGTTCAGGCAAGCCGCAAACCTCGGGCCAGCTCCCAAATGGGGCTGGGGTTGGGGTAGGGATTTTGGGGGCAGATTTATCTGGTTGGGGTCGCGACTTTGACTAAGTTGCGGCAGGCGATTTGTTGCCACTGCTGTCAACATGCAGCAATTTTTTGAGCATTTTATTCAAAAACAATTCTGGGCAGCAGCCCGCGCAGCGCAGCCCCCTCCGGCTGGCTCTTTCAACGCCTGCCGCAAGTGCTGGTGGCAAGAGAATTGCATTGAAAATAAACAGGCCTACAAATTGTAAATTGTTGATAAACAAAATAAACTGTGAAAAGGTGAAAGTAAAATGTAAACAGTAAGTGGAAAATGCGTAAACAAATTGAGGCAGAGTACGGGAAAAATGCAATTGCAACATTCGGCGGTAGTTGGCAACATGTTGCTAGAGAGCGACGAGAGCGTGGCTGTGTTGCGAAGTGAGAGACTGAAGGTGCGCGAGAGTAAGCGAGAGCACACGGCCAACGTTCATTTTCGAAATTCGAATTTCGAACTCTTGCTGCCGCTGTTGCCGGTCTCCCAGCAGCGTTGTTATTGTTGGTGTAATTTAACATGCTGCAAAACGGAAGAAGAAAAACAGCGATGCTGGAACAACAACAACAGCAACTAAATTCAAGCGCTGGAAAAGCGCACTGCGAGACATTGACCTTGATCATCATCATAGCTGTTGTTCTTGTTGCTGTTCTCTTTGCTCCTGTTGCCGCTGCATATTCGTCATTTGCTTTGCCTGCTGTCTGTTTTGCATTGGCGAAATACCGTCTGGGGATTTATTAGAGAATGAATCAAGTGCAGCAGCTGCGTATTATAACTGTAATATTATCACCCGAATACTATGGGCGACCGTTTATTTGTTTTTCTGTCTAGGAATTTAGCAATTATCAGGCAATTGGTAATTGGAAGCCCCGTTTGAATATGGTCTGTTCAAAAATACTTAATGGGTTTTATTTATTATTATTATTATTGCTTTTAATTAAAATATTGTCAATGTCAAACAGCTTTTTTAATGAAAAAATATTATGCGTAATTCGATATCTAAAAAAAAAAAAAATAATAATAAGCATGAATACATATACATGAATGTACATGCACGTATTTGAAAGAAGATATTTAGGGATTGAAATGACAAAAAACAAAAAAAAAACTAAAACATAAATTGCGAATTAATAGAAAAAAACGCGCCAATATCAGCAGCAACAAAAACAAAACATGCGACAAGCAGCGCTCAAATTCAACTGTTCAATTACAAATATTGCCAAGCCAATGACTGAGAGAGCGAAAGAGCCAGAGAGAGCGAGCGTAGGTGGCGTTCATTTCTCTGTGAAATGAACACAAGCAAGCAAATGTTGCGAGCGTGTTAAAACATGCAAGCGAGACTACCCTCGTACATGCTTGTGCGTGTGTGGCTGTGCAACATTCGATGCTGCTGCTGTGGCCGACTGTTGCCGACTCTACCGCTGCGACAGCGACTGCTGCTGCTCCTGCCGTTGCTGCTGCTCGGCTCTCGTTTTGAATTTCAATTTCAGTTTTTGACTCGCAGTCGCCGCCAACGGACGTGTGCGCCTCGCGTGTTTATTGTGAGAAATCAAAACGAATTGAACGAATACGAAACTTGAACTCGAACGCAAAAGACTGAACCGTGCGGAAAATGTGAATGGGAAATTTGTGAAGAGTGCGAAGTGAAATAATTGCAAAATCAACACAAACAAGTGCAAGAAATCAAAGAGCAACGCCAAGGGCTGTGTCTGCTTATCAACAAATTGAAATTCAAATAAAAACCAGCAAGCATTCAGTGCGAACAAATATTTCAAGCAATTGGATCTAACTTTGATATAAACAACACCCAAAACAACAAACAGCAGCCAACAGCCGCTTCTGCGAAACTTTTAAGTTTCTCCTATCGGCGGGCAGTAAAAAACAGCGGGTAAGTTGGCCAAACAGCGCGTGGAATAAAATGCTGCACGGCTCCTGAAACACAAACGAAAATGGTGGAAAACAAGTGCGAGCAGCTGGAAATACAGTTAGAGCTTCCAGCTGCGGATTAGAGCGCCAAAGAAAGCCAAACACAGCGGTGGGCGAGAGGCAAATGCGAACGGATGCAGCTTCATGAGTGGGTCGAGCCAAAAAGCTTATCAGCTGCAGCCAAAGCAGCAGCAGCAGAAGCAGCAGCAGCAGAAGTCGCAGCGACAGATTAACGCTTAAGCTTTAGCCGCTCCTCTCTCCCACTCCCGCTCTCTCTCGCACTCCCTCTGATTCCATATTTATGTGCTTAACTGTAAAGCAATTACTAACTGCTTATCGATAACAGATTATAGATCAATCCTATTATCAATGCAACAGCAGCTAAGCTCAAGGGAACTATAGAGCGAGCATTGAGTGTGTGACATATTCAAAAATATTGATAGAGTGGTATTTTAGTATTATTCGTTAGGTTACAGCAGAGAAAATATAATGAAAAAATGTTGGAAAACACTCTGAGAGAAATATAAAGAAAAATATGAAAGAGATTAAAATGTGAATTCTCAATTCTGGTACGCATAGTCCACAATCACTTATAGAGTTTATGGCCATAATGCTATAAGTTTCTTGTAAATTTTCACATTTTCTTTATGTGTCGATACAGGAAATGCGCTATAAGCAAAGTGAAATAGATATGGAAAATATTGCAGAAGTTAATTCAATCTATTTATAAATGTAGAAAAACAATAAATAATAATGCTAGAATGAAAAAAAAAATAAATAAATAAATAAATAAAATACATAATATGAAAATGTATTGTATATATAAAAATATAAAAAGATAAATTGTAAAAAAAATGTTGAAAAAATAATAATAGGAAAATTGATATATACAAAAATATAAAAAGATAAATTGTGAAAAAAATGTAGAATAATTTCACAAAGAAATCTTAACAACTGCTTTAAGCTATGGCATTTAATGCTGTTTATTTAGTTATCAATAAGAAAACAGTGTTTAAAAGCAATTGTAAAAGCAATTGTAAAAGCATTCGATAAAGTGCTCAAAGTTATTTGAAGTGTGTTTTACAGTTATTCGTTGAGATTAACACAGAGAAACTGCATTTGCCTAAGGCCAACGTCTTGTTTTAATTTTGTGAAAAGAAGAAGGAAAGAACAGAAAAAAAACCACAAGCTGAAAAGCAAACAAATCACTTCTAGAATAGAGAAGAAGATAGAACAACAACAACAAACGAGCCGACAAAAGCTTTAATTATAACCAAATAGAAAAAAGTGTAGAAAAATGAAGAAGAGCAAAGAAGTTAAGCATACAGCATAGCACTTATGTCATCTATAAGGTTGAGCAACGCACACAAACACACACACACACACATACAGAGAGAGGGAGACAACAAACACACACCTTTGTTTAACTAGCCCAGCGAGCTGTTTGGCTCTGACTCTGACTCTGACTCTAGGTAAAGTGTCAACAGTTTTTGTTTTACGTAAATTTGTTGAAATTATTAGCAGAAAGGGCGAAAGGGCGCAACAAGTGCTCTTGCCACATTTGGCGGCAAGTTCATTATTTTTCAGTTATTGCTTGACTTCTTCTGTCCCCTCCCCTCTCCCCCCACCCCATCCCGCTCGCTGTCTTTATCGTCGTCGTCGTCTGTTAATCCTTTGGGTAAATAAGCCAAGGCGCATAACTCATAAATTGCCAGTGCCAAAATCCAAATTTATGACGATGCGCGGCAGGCAAGTGGGCAATGTATCTGGCAGATACACACGCTCGCACACACAGGCGCGTATCTGGCAGATACAAGCGCTAAATGAGCTGTTAAGCGCGCCTCGTTGCAAATAAATAATAACTCAATCGCGAGCCTATGCAATAAATATATATGTATGAACTTATATATGAATACATATATATCTGGGCAAAAGGAGTGAGGCGGAAGAGGCAAAGAGTGTTGGCAAGTGCAAAATCTCAGTGCTGGAAAGCGCATTTGGCGTATGTTCCCCAAATTGAAATTTAAGTGCTACACATGTTTACCTTTACCTTTACCTCTAGCTCTACCTTTACCCTGCCCTGCTTCTTCTTCTTCTTTTTTGTTGGGCTGTTGCCGAGGCAAAAGGCTCACAGGATTTCCGTTTGCTGTTTGTTTTCAAATTTATTTGTTTGAGCCGCTCTCCCGCTCCCTGCCTAATTAGTATGCCCAGCGCGTTGTTTCAACTGAAATATATTTTAAAAAAAAAAAAAAAAAAAAGCAAATACAAAAACAATGAAGCAAAGGTAACTTGTGCGTGGAAAGAGTTGACATAACTTGTGACTCGTAATGGCTTTATTAAAGTCAGTTTGCGTGGGAATTGATCGCTCAGTGCAGACATCGTATGAATGAGCAACCGATAGTTGACAACGTCAGAACCAATTGTGAATTATAGCCGTGAGCGGAATGATTCGTCGCTGCAGCTGCGCCCCAAAGCTCATTCAGTGCGCGGTGTTGCCATATGCTAAGCGGCTTAGAAACAAAACACACAACAAAACTCTAAGCACCTTATGCAAATAGGCCAAACGAAAAGAAATCGCTGAGGAAAACAGGAACTCAAAAAGATGAAGTCAGAGCGAAACAAAAATGTACAAACAAAACGTACGCGAAAATTGTTACAGTAAATTTTGAGGCATGCGGAAAATGAAAATGAAAAAAGAAAAAACAGAAAAAAAAACAACAAAAAACTGAAGGAAAAAATCTGAAAACAAAATATTTGTTATGCGCTTGTAATTTTCTCGCAACGCAAAAAGCGAAAGCCGTGAAAAAAGGCAGGACTTACACGACTGCCAAGGGGCAAGCGAGGAGTAACAGGGCGAGAGGGGGGACGGTGCGAAGGAGCCACTGCAGTGGTAGGTAAATGCCGACGTTTTTTCGTGCTCAGCTGCCCAGAGAGCAAGAGAGTGATAGAGGGAGGGAGGGCAAGAGGGGAAGACAAAGTGAGAAGCGAGCGCAAAGAAAACAAACTTTATCGCAGCCGTCTCAGGACATGCTTACTGTAATTCCCCTGCCCGCTTTCCATCTCTTCCTCCCCACCTCTCTCTTTCTCTCTTTTACGCACTTTTGCTCTTAATGCTGAGTGACATTGATGTGACATGCCCGTCAACTGCTCTGCCGCTGCCTCTGCCCTTGCCCCTGCCCCTTCCTCTACCGCTGCTACCGTCTCCTTCAACTTGTCTGGCTGCGTCAACGAGGCGCGCTGCTTTATTTAAAAGTTTAGCGTAATGTGGCCGCAGGGGCAGCAGCAGAGGCAGCAGCCGAGGCAGAGGCAGCCGTAGGGGCGCAGCAATGTTAGTTGTGTGCTCCCCCTCCCCTCATGCTCCCCACAAACACCTCGACCGAGACTGGACAAGCACAACAAATAATAAATGATATGTAAACTAAGGCACAAGTTGCTGTAGGTCCTTATTTTATTTTATTTTTTCTGCTTATGGTTTGGGGCTAACGCATATTTTAGCCTAGATTTGTATTTTTTTTTTTATTTATTTATTTATTTTTTTTTTTTTTTGGTAATTTGTTGCTTGCTTTGGGCGCAAGTGCTTAATAAATCCAAAGCTGGTGGAAGCTTAAACTAAAAAATAGATAAGTTAGGAGCTCTAAACTTATTTTAAAGTTCCACTTCTCATTTAATACAGCGCGACTCCGAAACAAAGAAGTTTTTTGTTTTAGTTTAGCATTAAAGCTGCTGCACAAGATTAGATAAGTTTTTGACTAAAACTTAGTTAATGTTTGCATCAAACTTTGAATGGAATGTAGTAAGCATTAGTGATAAAATGCATTAAAATAAATATTGCTAAAGATAAATAAACATTTTCTTTGCTTACCTATCTTCTAATAAATAAACTAAAAATATGTAAGCGAATAAAACTACTCAAGTAGTTTATAATAAATATAATCTATACAGTTTATATTGTATGGTATTTTAATAATATTATACAACATTATAATCCGCATTTCTATTTACTATAATCTACTTTAGTAGTTTACAGCTGTTCCGTAATTAATCATATAAAATTATCGGCATACTATAAACTATGCCCATTATGTTCTAATCATGCTATAGTATTCGATCTCGCTCTTTGCTGGTCTCTGCTGCCTTTTGCCCTGTCCTTTAGCAATTTGCACTATATTCTCGTATTTCGTGCGTTTGCTAGACGAGGCTAGTTACATTTGTTCCACATATTGGAAAATTGTTATCCCGCAGAGCCCATAACACTTATCGAGCCCAGAGACCGAAGACCAGAGACCAAGGGACAAACGAACTACTAACTACATTAAATGTCTCAATTTTCAATGCCGAATGCAGTTTGGGTTTTTCTTTTTCTATCTTTTCGGTTTTTTACCTGAGTGGCACCCATATCGCTTACCTATGCCCAAAACGAATTAAAATTACACGTTCAGACTGTCGCGACGGTGCCAGAGCAAGAGAGAGAGAGGTAGAGGCAGTCAGAACTGTCGATCCTTGGAAAGAACATTTATCATTGTAGCTAATAAATGTGTTTCGCTTTCGGTTACCTGCGCTCGAGTCTCTGCTTCGGTTGGAGTGACCCGAAACGTGGTTTGGCTTTTCAATGGCAACGATTGAGTCATTTAAATGCGTGGCAAAAAATAGACAGCAGAGGAAAAACTAAGGCTGGAAAACCAACTACAACCACCCCGGACAATTGTCCAGCTAATTTCGATATTGCCTCAGACAATTTCCAATCGAAATTCATGTTGGGCACAATTCAATTATGCTTTCAGTCTCAGGCAGCTGTTGTTTTTGTCTGTTTGTCTTTTTGTCTCTTTGTCTCTCAAGTAGTTACATAAGCGACATAAATCAGCCTTGGGTGAAAGTGCTGAGAAAGTAAGTGGGGAGTAAGTGGGTTTCAGAACTAGTTCCATTGAGATATACTTTAATTGGGCAAGAAAGGGGTTGGCCAAGTTTAATTGCGATGCTCTAAGCAAGGAAAATGTTTTTGATTTTCCCAATCATTTTCCTCGAGTGCCCTGCGCGGCGTTATCATAACAAGCTGTGCGTGCAGCTGTCTTCAAGTAGTTTCCCAAAATGTATCTCAAGACCGACTTTAAGCCAATTATCTAATTGCTAGCATTTCACTTTGATTTGCTCTTATCAGAATGTCTGCGTCTTCTACTTATCCTTCGCTTCCTTCGGCTGCTTCGGCTGTTTCGCCTCCTGCTCCTGCTGCTAATTGCCCGACTGACTCGACTACTCACCTCGACAGGATTCTGATTTCCATTTCTGCTTCCTTGCCGCGTCGTCCAAAACGTTTCCGTTTCACGCTTCGACGGACGGCCAGTCCGTCCCAGGAGAACCTTTGAATGCGTCCCAGACTTAATCTGAAAACAAATCGATTTCGTTGTCTCGCCTGCAACGGCTTCAGCTTCAGCTTCAGCATCAGCTCCTTTTCCTTTTCCTTTGCTCTCGTTTATGTTTTTTTTTTTTTTTTTTTTTTTTGTCTTTTTTGTTGCCAACTTCAACACGATTTATTTCATTATTTTGCAGCTCTTGGGGTTTGCAGCAGCGCTTTTAATGGGCCGCTTTCAAAAGCTAATCAGCAGACAGAGTCTCTCGCTGTCTTTGTCTGTCTCTCAGCGTCGAGCTGCGAGACAATTCAATCGATTTCCAAAATAAAGGGGAAGAAAAAAAAAAAAAAACAATAAACTAAAGCTTAAAGTTGAGATTTAGGTATTGAGTTAAGCGCGAGCCTTTGCTTGCAGTTTGCTGTAGAAACTCAAGATTGCATTAGCGTTGCATTGGGGCAGGGTAGGGTCGGCTGAATCAGGTATAATTGATAAGAAATGTCAAGCTTGAAGCAGCCCAGCGATCTCTGCTCTATAGCCTAAAGTCACGAATTTTACAAACTCTTTAAGTTCATCTCTTAATTAAAAGTATGTTTATTCTCTTATAACTGAGTTATTATTTTACAGAGCATTTGTCAGTCGCTCACAAATCTGTTTTTTATATTTATTTATATATATTTTTTTTTCGATTTTATTTTTGTTATTTATTAGTTTGACTTCGTTTCAATTGCAATTCCATTCAATTCAATTCAATTTTCTTTACAACATTTCATCTTTGACATGTTGTGTGTGCCTCTCTTGCTCTCCCGCTCTCTAGCTCTCTCTCTTGTCAGTTTGTCGGGTTTGGGTCTGTCTGTCTAACCGTCTGTCATTGTATTATTTCGAGTTCAAGTTGGAATCTTCTTCTTCTTCTTTTGTCCAGTGCAACATTGTGTGTCAGATTCGCTTCGTCGTCTTCGTTTTTAATATCTTTTAATCTCCAATGTCAACAGCGGCTTACATTTGATTGCAAGACAACAGCAACAACAACAGCAGCAATTGTAGTTTTTTTTTTCTCTCTCTCTCTTGAGATCTTATCAGTTGGCTTGGCCTGCCTTCCTGCCTGCCTGGCTGCCTACCTTCTCGCTTGCTCGCTCTCTCTCGACTGCTCTCTCTCTCTCTTGCTCTTCAGCCAGCGCCGCACTCTCTGACAACTGTCAGCTCACTGTGCAGCTAATTAAATGGCCCAACTGGCAACATATGTTGCCTTCCTTGCATCCTCCGCCCCGCTGCCGCTCTGGCTGCGTCTATGTGCCTTGGCCTTACCCCACGCAGCAGCCGCAACAGCCACATGGACTCTTGAGCTCTTGAGTTTTCCCGGCTGTCAAGTAGCTGGCAGACAGTCGAGAGCTTAAGCCGCAACGTAATCCACATGGACTGTGGCAAGGCGAGATTTGGCTTTTGGCATTTTTGCATTGATGGAACCAATTTTGAATGCGACTGTCAAGTTTAACGGCATCCAGCCGCTGGCAGCTATCGATAGTAGCCAGACAATCGATAAGACTACCAGCAAGTGGCTTATAGTAGAGCAAGGAATTGAAATAGTCAATATTTATGTTAATGATAACGTTATTTAGCAAGAAGTTATCGATTGCAGTTAAATGTAATCATTTATCGATAAATCGAAACTGCTAAATAGGCGTAAACATAATATGAAATATATCGGTAATGAGCATAATACATATTATCCCATCTAACTATCATAATGCCAGGGATCAACTAATCTTAATATATTAGAAATTAACAGTTAATCTGTTATCCAATCTATACTTTAAGATATCTCTCAATTATCGATTACTGGCAGTGAAAACAATCGATGAAATTCGATCTGTGCATGAGCTGTGAATGCACTCATCAAACTGTACGCAATTCTCAATTATTTTGTCAGCATATGTGTGAAGAATAACAACAGAACCGCAGGAAAAAGGATAATAATAATCATAAAAAAAAGAGGAACGAGCAGAGGGGTTAAAACAATTGCCAATGAGTCGACAGATTTAGCTACAGGATTAAAAAAAGAAAAACAGAAAAGGAAAATGTATATATAGCCAACTGTAGGGCAATAAAAATGGAACGGGCTAAAAACAGGACACACGCACAACAACAACAACAACAGCAGCAACATTGATAGCATAAAGCCAAAGCAAATAAAAATAAATAAGTAAAAAATAGAAACGCATTAAACAAAATCAATAAAAATTAACAGCCCCGTGGCTAGAGAGACTCGGGGTGGGTTCCGCATAGAGGACACATTAGGAGCGTTGCATTCGCTTAGGGGTGTGAATGGAACGAGTCGAGAATATCCTCACAGTCTATATATATGTATGTATGCATGCATATTTGGACTTTTTGCATGTGCCAATGGAAGTGTGTCCAGGATCAGACCAGGCCAGGGCAGGCCATAAGCGACGCGTCGCGACGTGCCAAGCCCTACGTTGGCCAGATAATTGTGATAGACAATGCAGCGACAGCTGTGGCCAGCTGATGTCCTGGCCAGCTATTCACCAGCCTTGACTACATTTCCTTCATCTCTCTCTCTCTTTCCTTGCAGCGCCGCCGCCGTTGAGGGCTGTCCAGCGATGACAGCGATCAGGAAGCGCATTTGACACGCAGCCCAAGATCTCAACTACACACACACACACATACACAAAAACACTATCACACACACACACAATACACTCACCAAAATCAAAAACCAAAAAGCAAACATATTTCAAAAGTGAGGAGTAGCAACAAATGTGGAAAATGTTGGACTCCATGATGGATGCCGAGCTCTTCATGTTCGATTGCGACGAATGCGCCGGCATGCCGCTAGCCCCCCCGCCACAGTTCCTGATACCGCCGCCGCCGCGGCCGCCGGCGCTGGCCGAGTACACTGTGGTGCCGCAGGACTGCAACGAGGAGCAACTGGCGCAACAGCAGTGGGAGAGCGACGTCTGCCAGGCCATACCGGTGAGTACACGATTCAGCTCTTTACGGTTATAGCTAGCTACATATATGGCAAGCAGGGTTGCCACCCTAATGGACTGCATAGGGCTCACAGCTGTTGAGATTTTCCCCTTTGAAGGTGTCTCTAATTTATGTTGCCTTATTGAATTATTGCATTATGCATGCATACGAGCAACAACTACAATAATAGTAATAATAACAATGCGCCTTTCTGGCTGTAATTGGGGTGGCGGCGGTGCCTCGAAGCGGGTGGGTTGAACTGTGGGCGGGGCAGCGATTCATGGCACAAGTGCGAAAAGTTGAGTGTTTGACACTTGAACTGATTGTTGTGCATTGTGCGAGGCTGCCACGATTTATGGCATCTGATCAAAAATCTGTTGCTAAACGAGGCACGAAATGTTAAACACAAATTAACATTCTGAGGGCATGCAGATATGCCAATGAGAGCAGCAAACCACAGTTGTCAAATGCAATAAAGTGTGGTTCAGTATGCTGGTGCGTTCGACTTATTTCTATAAGATTTACTTGGTACATGAATAGCTGATCTTTAGCCTTAAATGTTAACTAGCTGTAACGCTAATAACAGCTGTTAACAGTTTCAGCAGCGATTGACTTTGATACTAACTTTATTTCAAATTACTAAATCTAATTTTAACAGCTGTTAACTAACAGTTCAACAGCTTTAAGCGCCTATTAAGAGTTGCTAAATAGCAACCACATCTAGCTTCAGCTGGGCATTAAAGGCTTCCATAGGTCTCATACCACATCCAAGCCTTTGCTGTGGCCTATTTTTCGTTTCACATGAAATTCAAGCCACAGAGCATTTCCTCCCACATTTTAAAGCCTTTTCAATGTGCAACTCATTTAAAAGTAAAGAAGACAAACAAGTTGACGCTTCCTCCTTCAGGTTCGTTTTTCTTGGTTTTCCTTTTGTATGTTATATATATATATACACATTTTTTTGTTGGGCTCACAGACAACCACAAGGCAACACTTTAAAGCAGTTTGCTCCTTGAAGTCCTGGCAGTTGCCACAGCAACAGCTGTTGCCAAAATGTATACGCATATACATATATATTTATAAATATATACAGGCAGAAAAAACGTCATCATTATGAGGCTGGCCAACCCAATCCTCCTGCCAACAAATTACAATAACAATGAAAAGTTAAGCGTCAGAGCACAAAAAGGACAACCCAAGTAGTTGGCCAAGGGGCGGTGTCGGAGGGCGGTTCCAGGGGGTTGTAACGTGGCAACATATGGCCATGCAAGGCGCAACGAATTTTCCGACCATCCCGAAAAACTCGCAGCAAACTTCAAGGAACCAAACACAGGGAGAACAAAAAAATATTGTTACAAATTATTTTTATTAAAAAATAAATGAAATGAGTGGGAAAAGTGGAAGAAGGAGAAACTTAAGCAAACGTAACCTGGCACTTGATCTAATCGCTGGCCTGTTTGTTTAGGCAACAGGCGGGAAAACCAGAGGAAAACTGAGAAGAGCAAAGCAAAACAAAACAAAACACAAGATCAAATTCCACATCAACACTTCAGATGGGCAGGCGGGCAGGGCGAAGACCCTGATAAGCGCATGAGGCTCACGTGCCCACAGATATGTGTGCTCCTATCTTCATATTTCCCATATATATACATATATAAGAATATATATATATAAATAAATAAATGTTCCTTTTTGGGGCAGCCCCAAACACGTCGGAAAACTCAAGTGTTTTCCACTTAATATTGGACATTTATGTAACAGACGAAAAAATTTCAATAAATAAAAAAGCAAATTCCATGTGTGTGGTCCGCAGAGCGCCAGATAGATAAGTAGACGCTATGCGTGTGCGTGTGTGTGGGCACTTGGGATTATCTCTCTTTCTCTCCCTCTCTCTCACTCTCGCTCTCTATCTCTGAGATACTCTCTGACTCCCCAAGTACGTTCCATTTGACAGTGGGTAGCTTCTGATTGATGCTGACAAATCAGATGCGAACATGCGCTTAATGTCAGCTTTAACGTGCACGTCTATCGATAGCCGCGTCTATCGTTTATCGAAATGCAATTTCATGCTTCCACTGACTGACATTCAGGTGAAATACGTTAGAAATCTGTGCGACAGCAGCTTAAATTCAATTGCCATCAGCATCAATTTAATGGATTAGCGTTCAAAACTGCCAGGGCCCAGGGAGCTGGGCGAGGGGGAATGTAGGGGAGGAGAGGGGTTAAATCGTGGCTCGGAAGTCTCAACATCTCATTCGTGGGTGTGGGTGTGTGTGCGTGTGCGAAATTCTCTCTCATCAAATTGATAAGTTTAACGGGAATTGTGCCAATTTGGCTGTGTGTGTGGGTGTGTGTGTGTGAATGTATGTAGAGCGTAATTGTCAACTGGCAAACGCAAAGAAGCAGAATAATATAGATCTAGACTCGAGAATGTCCTGTAGAGCTAAAGATAATTCAAAGTGAATATATATTAAATTACAAAGATTCTTAAATAATATTAAACTTATCAACTCTTTAATTATATTAGACTTCAAGGTACTAAGGATAGATTGAATTCATGATATAAAATGAGGAAACGAAAATCACATATCGAAATTCAGATACCTTATAAAGAAAGTCTATAAATCTATGCCATATGACAAAATCTAAGATACTCCATAGAAGTAAATGTAGGAAAGTTTTTTGGGAATTCTGGTCTCAGCATACCCCCCACTTGCAGACAGCCATCATACAGGGTATTTGCAGTCTTTAAAGTGGCAACAGCACGCAAAGGATTCGATATAGCATTAGCGGGGTAGCAAAAGGCATTCGGCTGGGGCAGCAATACGAGGACGACGCGTCAAACATACGAAATTAAATTTGCTGCGCGATGCGAGAGTCAAAAAAAAAAAAAAGAAAAAAAAGAAGAGGAAGAAGCAGAAGATGAACAACTTGACAAGCAGCAGAAGCAACAGAAAAAATAAGCAGAGCAGAAGCAAAAGCAAAAGCAAAAGCAGCTCACAGTGATTGCAGCTGGGCGTGGCAGCCGAATAATCCTTTTTTATTTCATTTCACTGCTGCCTTCCACTTTTGCCTGGGTCGCTGGCAGAAATATTTCAACTTGAGCTGAGAAATCGCTTTAAATAAGCAAAAGCTAAAGCGTGTTAAAGAGGGTTAAGTGAGGATGGTTTGGAGTTAGCTACTTGGGAGCTTGGGAGCTTGGCGCTTGGCGCTTGGAGCTTGGGTAGTGCAAATGTCTTGACATTGATATCAAATGTCGTGCGAATGCCATACAAAATAGTCGCACATTCCATTGTCTACAGAACGTTGCATAGTTTCGTAGTCTGCTTTTTGGAGTTCGCACGCTCCAGCTGCTGATGATGATAATGATGATGATGATGGAGGACGCTGGCGGCGAGGGGAGGGCGTGCATGGGCCCGGTTCAGAGGTTAGGGTGTGGCCTTAGGTTGTTGATGTTGTTTACAGTTGACACATAGCAGACACAGCTGCAGACAGGCACAACACAGCACACACACACACACACACACACACACACACAGACAGAGACGGAGCGAGAGAGAAACAGAGCAGACAACACAAAATGTAGAATTGTCTGGCGGGCTTTTCACAATAAGAAAATTTCATTTATAAATCCATTTCACATAAATACATATACATACATATCTACAAACATTTATATATACAAGTTTTCGTTTAGGCATCTGAGCCTTGCATAACAATTTAACTATGTTTTATTAATACTTTAAAGCTGTAAGCAAATATGCTGTACTTATTCCTGAGTAGCCCAGCTCTAACATTTTGATAACATTTCTGTTCCGTTTTGCGTGCTATATAAAAATATAAAAATATAATAGATTAATTTTACAAATAAATACAATAGAGAATATTGCATACATGTTACATAAATACTCTGTGCAAGCATTTATTTTTTTCATCTTTGCTTTAGTCGCTGTTCTTAAATATTTTTCAAGTCAGCTTAGATAACATAGGCTTTAACAGCGCATTTCTCATTTGAAAACTAACGCCTTTTTAGCTTAAAAACAACTTTTAAACAGCCTCAGACCGAACTCAAAGAAATAAGATCGACACATAGTTGGTGTAAAAGAGAGGGCAGATGCCGCTAGAACAACTGGAAATGCATCTCAATCACAAGTTGTTTCCAAACAATTGCACTGTCAAGTGGTTACAAAACTGCGCCAAGTTGCCAACATCAACACACACACACACACAGACACACATCGATGGGGGCGCTGGTGGGCGTGGCTGTGTGAGAACTGTCGATATGCACGTGCAATGAAATCGAAGTTGGCTGCCCCTGCCCCGTGCCACTGCAGCAGCTAGTGTTGAAAAAGGCGTTACACATGCAACGCATGTAGAAAACTTTTGCCATGTTATCAGTGTGCCAACTTGTTGTAGCTTTAGCATTTGCTGTTGCTGCTGCTGTTGCTTTTGTTGTAGTTGAGCCTGCAAGTGGCACGTGCGTCCACGTGCGCTGCAAGCCTCCATTACTAAGCGCCCAGCCTTGGCTGGCTTCCACAGCGCTGGGCATTGTTGCAAACTTTTGTGTTTTCATCAGGAAAATGAAAATGCGTGCGATGGAAAGCTGTATGTGAGGGCCGAGGGGCAGCGCAGGTGTAGTCCAACCAAACGATGACTGGCCCAAAGTGGCAGCTTTTTAAAGCCAGGTCAAGAGTCCCACTCAAAATATTCAGCTAAAAACGGAAAATAAATAAAATAACAAAGAGCCGTTGAGTGGCTAATCAGCGGCTGCTTTAAATGCTGTTGGCTTTGTGCCACAATTTCTAATGAATATATGTTTTTATATATATATTCATTTATATCTATTGTGTTTTTTTTTTTTTTTTTTTTTTTTTTTTTTATATAGCTTGTGCCTTCATTACTTTATCGCACAAGTTGGCAGCACGACGTTTTGTAGCTTCTATTTACTTTTTGGCTATTTGCCGGAGCATAAATCGTTCAAACTGTTATCGTTATCTGGGTGCACTGTTTGCCCACGGCTCTGCTTATTAATTTATGACTGCGGCTACCTATTCGCCCCGCCTCGCCTCTGGACTGGATGGAAAGCCTTCAATCAAACAACTCCTACTGGAAAATGCGCTTATCTGAGCAAACAGACGAAGCAGGGCGGCTGCTTGTTATCGATAAGACGCAAACAACTCTTTTTTCTTTTTTTTGTATCAGGGCAGAAGCTGAATTCTATTTGAGTAATTTTTTTTTATCTCAGTTTTCTGGTAGTCGGGGCTAATCCCCTTTTTCAGCTGACGCGCGGCTGTTGCGAGCCGGCGGCAGTCAAACTGTCGCAATGTTTGCCTTTTACCTTTTACCATGCCCCCTTTCCCTCTCTGTGGGCTGTCAGCTACTCATGTAGCTCATTTGGGTTTGGGCATTACAAATAGCTGAAACTCACTCACATAGATTTATCGATTATGAACGCCTGCGGCTGGAAAAGTAAGTGAAGGGACCCAAAGAAAATAAAGCAACAGAAATTTCATTATTTTCATCTCATACTCATAAGAGATCTTAAGATTCCAGTTGAGCCCAACCCTAGCTGTGCAGTGTAGAGGAGCTACCAAGCCAGGCATATGAGTTAACGGCAGAGCTATGATGAGGTATAGATATAAATATTGTTTACAATTCTATGGCATACCAGATATTCAGAAATATAATTCAGTTAGGAACTTTAAGCTAATTCGAGAACTATTGCAGCTATCAAAATAGGGGCAAATAGAGCTATCAGATAATATCAGCTCCGGAAATCATATAGTTATCACGCTGAAATTCGATACACATAACAGCCAAGCTGATTTCAATACGATTCCATAACTAATCTATACCATAACCTCAATCTTATGATATTCCTTGTACAATTTCGAACAGCTCCAAGCAACTTAATTGTCAACGTACCGCACTCAACAGGTCAGCAGTGGCACACAGCAATTGTCGCCATCGACCACTCCCCACACCCCACACGCCTTGCTTCGACACTTTCCAACACTGTGCCACGCCGCAGCTCATTAATCAATTTGATTACGCGCAATGAGCTTTGGGAGTTTTCTTTCTTTTCGTTTCTGTCTTTTTTTTTTTTTTTAACTTTTGACTCTCTCTCCCCTCTTTTGTGTGCCACACACTTGCTGTGGCGCAGCTCGCATAATTGTTTAATTTATTGTTATTTATTTGTTTGACTCAGTTTCGGATTTGTCTGTAAATGGCTTTCAAAACAATTTTCGTCGAGGAATGAAAACAAATTTCTTCAAAAATGATATGATAAGACGCAGCGTTTGGCATGGTGGTTTGGGTGGTAGCTGCCCGTGTTGGCCCCCCTGTCCCTACCCGCGTCCCTTACCCTTTCCCTTTCCCTTCTTGAATAGTTTAAACAATTTCGCCATGCGGCAATGCCTGTCAATATTTTTATAGCTTATCTCGCAATGAGAATGAAATTGGGAGCGGATTGTGTGTGTCTGTTATTGTTTGCCTTACTTTTGTATGCGCTCAGCTGTGGCATATTAAATGATTAATTGGCACCCAGAGAGAAATGGGGAGATAGAGAGCTGGGTGAGGCTGTGGGCACGGGGGTCAGATAGAGGCAAGCTGCTTCCGGGTGCAAAGGAAACTGTGTCAGCGCAAATAAATCAATGTGAAACTATTTATTAATAAATTAGTGTATGCACAAAAATGCAATTACGTATTGAAAAGCGACCTACATACGCACATCCAAGCACACACACACACACACTCACACACACGCACACACAGTCAGTTGCAGTTGTGTACACACTGGCCGAGGCGAAATTATTTGCACAGCTGTCAAAGCTTGACCTCAATTTGAGCGCAGCTTTTGTCTCGCTCTCACTCTCTCTCTCGCTTTGTGCACAACAAAAAATATTTTTCCAATGCATTTGACTGATTTATGTGCGTGTGTTTGTGCTTGTGTTTGTTTATCTTTATCTTTGCCTTTGTGTTCGAGCCAATGACAGGTGGATGCGATTTTCGTTGTTTTTCAAAAAGTTTTTCGACCACAAAAAGAAATCACACAAAACAATTAAGAGTAAAGTTTGTTTGACATTTTATCTTTGACAGCAAAAGCTGCATAATTTGAAAGTTTTTGAAAATAAAACTCAATTGATTTTTTGACCTCCATTTTCTCTTTATCTTCATTTTGCATGGGCAATTTTCACAGGTTTTGACCTTAATTTTGTTGATTGCCCCAAAGTTGCTGCTCCCTCTGCCACTCTCCGCCATCTTTAAAAATTCTTGCGAATCAAAAAAAAGGTTAACAGCGTCTTGGGCTTTTGTTTGCTATTCGTTAGGCATATTTACCGAAATTTTGTTGCTGTCGTCTGCTCCGCTTGCTCTTCTTCGCATGCAAAATCGGTTTGTGTTTGAGTTGCGTCGTGATTTGCATTGTCTTAAACTTTTTTTTTTGTTTTTGGTATTTTTGCTCCTACTTTTACTTTTCACTCACAGCAAAGTAATTTCAACTCACGCTCTTCTCTTTTTGCCTCTCTTGCAGATTCTGGATGCCAGTTTATACAGCAGCCAATCACTGGCCACCTCAGCGATGATAGCGGTTTTTTCACTGCTGCTGGTGCTCATTGTGCTCATCTCCTCGCTCTTCGTCTGGAAGTAAGTACACAGAAACCAAGAAAAAACAACAACAAAACAATTGTATGCTAGTCCAAAGAGTGCGAGCGAAGCAGCATGCATTGCTTGCGCTTTAGCTAATTAAGTGCAGCTCGCCTGCTCTTTCGCAGTTGCGCGGGTTCTTGTCTTGGCTATGTGCTGAGGTCTGGTACGTGTCAATGCTAATGCTCGGCTGCAATGATCTTGGGCATGCTGCGAGCTTGACTATGGCTCAATTTAAGCCAATTACAGTTACAATTACACACACACACATACACCCATAGTCATTCTGGACTGTGGCAGCTTTTCTGGTCTTTGCTCGACTTTAATCGCGCTTTCGAGCACCTTGGTCAACTGGCTGCATGGGACCACACAGAATATTCACAGCCTTAATTAACTATAAATGAGTGTTGCACAACGGCAAACAGAAAAATGCATAAGCCATAAAAGTGTTGGGTACCCAACAATTTAGCGCTATATGAAAAATGCATGAAATGCGCAAAATGTACAATCCGTTTCAACAATATAAACTATGCAGTTGTATATGTGCATTTATAACAGTAAAAACCCATTTGCTAGAGTCACAAAAACAAGCAAAGCGAACGCAATGGTGGCCAAACGAAAATTAATGTAGTCTACTTTCCAGTGCTGACCTACATGAGTGTGTTTGCTTGTGCTTGCATGTGTGTGTGTTTGTGTGTGTGTGAGTGGGCGCACTCTTAAAACCAAAACTAAATTAAATTGAAATTTTATACACAAAAAGCAAAAAAACACGTGAGAAAAGTGCACACCCACACACACACACACACACACACGCACACAGCTACATCAACTTTTAAGCCGAGCGCAAAAAAATGAAATAAAATAGAAAATAAAACAATTTCACCAACAAATAGCTAAAAAAAAAAAAAAGGCCAAATGAAATTCGCAGCCGAAAAAAAAGCCACAGCAAAGGCAAACTAAAAGAGAGCTCTAAATAAAATATAAAAAAAACTCAGCTCACATAACGGTGCTTGGCTCTAGTTTACATATGTAGTGCATATGAGCGGGTGAGAGCAGAGTCCAAGGAATTTTTGCACGCACAGCAAAGAGAGTCAACCCGAAATCTGGGGGTTAGAATAGAGCAGCATTAGTTGTGAGAGCGAGAATGCGAGTGTGAGAGGTAGAGTGAAGAGCGTGTGAGGGGACAGAATGTGTTTGTACGTTTTAATGGGTTAACTAAATTTAGATGCTTTTTTCTTGCGTTTTTTATCTGCTCTGTGTATATGAATTATAGCTAAACATTTATTTGATTTCACGACTGTGCGAACTTTACACTGGCATGTGGAGCTTAAGAGTGCGAGAGGAAATGAATACGAGGAGAGACCAGCTTTACGATCTTCCAAGCGAAAGTTATGAATGTGCGCATGTGTGGGTGTGTGTGTGTGTGCTTTCTCTTAAAAATTTAATTTCCTCTCAGCGCGCTTCAAGTGATATGCAGCAACTCTTAAAGCTGTGCCCCTCAGCTGCTGCTGCTGCTACTTCGCATTAACATCAACAAGTGTTGAGGTAACATGTTAGAAAGGGACCGCAAGCACATTCGATTTGGCTGGATATTCATGGTCCTCTTAGTAGTAGGAGTAGGCGGTGGGTAGCTGCGGCTGCTGAGCAGAGCAGATGAGTTGCTCCAAGCGCTTTTCATACATATTCATTAAAGTTTGCTGACCGCACGAACGCACAGGCCGGATAAGTGGGCGGCCCCGACAGGGGCGTGGCAAAGTAAACAGAGCTAAGCAAACGCAAGCAAACTGTTGTTGTTGCTGTTGTGCTTCATCATTTCTGAGGTTATGGCCATGACCAGGACACACACACACAAACACACAGAGAGCCCGAGAAGTATCTTTATTATACACACACGCACACGCACACTCACACACACACTTGTCTATGTATACAGTTGGCAAAAGCTGCTGCTTTAAGTGTTGCCCCAAAAACTTGCTCCATTTGCTATCTGCATGTGCGTGTTGCGACCTCTGTGTGCGTGAGTGTGTGTGTGTGTGTGTGAATGAATGTCCAAAAAAAAAAAAAAAAAAAAAGCAGGCAAAAAATGTAGAGCAACAACAACAACAACTTGAGTCTAGCGCCATTTTTGTGGCATTTATGATGTGGCACATTATTTTTGCCTTTATGGGCGCCAACAACAAATAAATATAAATATGAATGTGAATACACATACATAAATGTATATTTATATGCATGCGTATGTGTGTGTGTGTGGACTATCGTGTTGCGTGTGGCAACAACAAAGCGACATAGAAAACCTATAAATAAAATAGCAACTAATTTTATTTATTTTACTTTTTGTTTGTTCTTTTTTTTTCTGCCTCTGCCATATAATGGAAATAAAATAATCGTAATGTCAACACATAAAAGCCGAAAAAACAACCTTGTTGTTGTTGTGGGGTGTGAATACCAAAATCAAATCGTAATTTTAGGGCACATTAGTGGGCGTGGCACGAGAGATAAACTATTTAATTTGCTCTTTAGTGCGCAAATTAAAAGTCAAATGAAATTAGAGTGCTGGAAAATCGTTGATGCTGATTCATTTGCAACACTGAAATATTGTTTATTTTTGGAATATTGCATCTGGTGTTGGTAGATTTTCTAACTTGGCTAACATTTTGTGCTAGAAATATCCTTGAGTGGAGTTTAAGCCAAGTACTCAAACAGTCTCTTGAACATCTTTAAATCACATTATCAGTCCAGTCTCAGTTTAACTGACCAACTTTGCGAATTTGCCTCATCAGCAGCAGCCGAGATTTAATGCATATTTGCGCTTTGGGAATTTTTAAAATATTTTTTCATGAAACTCTCATAATTACATTAAATTTTGTTCTTCCATTTTTGTTTTTGCTTGTAAGCTGAAATACCAAAGCATTTAGTATGTGGATTTTTTTTTTTTTTTTTTGCGTGCCATTAATGGCATTTATTATGAGTCCATCGAGTCGCCTGTTCATAATTACCTTAATTATTTTAATAAACCGCCAGAGAGAGCTGCCCACTCCGTGGCTCTTGGCCAACTTTTTTGTGTTGTTGCAAATGTTTGCACATTGAACTTTATTAATTGCATGAAATGTGCGTGCATGCAACACGTGTGGCAGCCAGCTGCAGGGGCGGCGGCAGGAGTTGGCAAAAATCTGAAGCGCTTGTCGAGCGGATTGTTAACATTGTCGCCAGTTAATAACATTTCAATAAATAAGCTCGATTTTATGCAAATAATTGCATATGAAATGCCAAATTGAAATTAAAACGTTTCCGCTGCACTTTCAACTTGCTTCTTTTTTTTACAGTGTATTTTTCACTTTTGTTTTGCTTTGTTTTTTTTTTTCCCCCTTTACTGTTTTATGTTAAAGTCAAGGGCACTGCCGTTTGCCCTCGCGCTCATGCATATTAAATAGATGGCAACCCTGGCAACAGTCTTCCGCAAAAGTTATGGCCCACAAATGTGTATGTATGTGTGTGTGTGTGTTGCCATTAATGTTGACTGCCTCTGCTAAATAAATAAAATCAATTTTGGCTGCTTGCAATTTCATTTGCCTGTCACGTGCCCTCGCCGCGGCGCTAAGGCGAGGCCTGGCAACCCTGGCCTTACTTAGGCAGGGTTGCCCCGGCAATTTTTCATCAAGTGCAGACCCTTAAGAACATGTTTAACTTGCTTTACAGAGTTTCGCCTCGTCTTCAATTTCAGCGCATTAATTTGTGAAAATCTTTGATAATTCATTTGTTTGCCCAATTATAACTTGATATAGCCTATTCCTGATGTAGCTCGATTCGAAGTCTAGGCAACCCTGGTGTCAGCTGTTGCATGCTGCACCGCAAAGCTGCGGTTTGTGGCTCATCTGGCGGCTATTGCGGTGCACTAGACAAGCCCCAGCCAGATATCTATTCATGCTATATATATACATATATATGTATCTATTTGTGCTGTAATGGATGCAGACAATTAAAGTTAATGCAAACCACAGCAACTCCCAGTCAGAGGCCATTTGCATATCAAAGTGAATGACTTTTGTTCTAGCTGTTGCTCTCGACTCGCACCACACTCGCAACCCTTGAGCGGCAGGAGTGTAGTTCATAAATAAAAGATACGGCAGTCGTAAGCGCCTCGCCCCCCCCTCTCCCACTGCCCAATCTGCGAAATCCCTCTAAACTTGAGTCTTATGCTCTGTTCTGTTCGGTTCGGTTCGAATTGGTCTGGGTTAGGGTTTGGGTTTGTTTTAGTTCCACCCTCACGTACAATCGCATTGTTGTTGGCTTGGCAACATTTTATTGTAAATTGCTTATGCCAAAAGGCAACCCTTGACGCTTGCCCCAAAGGTATGCCGCATGGGGCAGCTGCCTAAGCACCCCCATCTATGCCATAGATATGTATGTATGTATATTTAGCCATTGGCTTTTCTTTTGAGCTTTCTTTTACGCGCTGGCCAAAGTGTACGACACTCCAGGGACGCTGCGTCCATTGCCATGGCCGGGCCATAATGTTCAGAGAAATCAAAGACGTTGCTTAAGGGTTAAAGCACACACACACACACGCACACACACACACAGAGACATGCTTACACACTCGTAGCTGCGTTTAAACTCTCACGCGTTGATTTCATTTTTACGCCTCGTAAGTGAAATGAAATGAAATAAGTCGAAGCAAAGGCAAGTCGAGTCTCTGCTCCTCCTAGCCATTGCTCTTTTGTTTTGCTTGCTCTGGCTTGTGCATCATCTTGCGGCATGCCACATTATTTAATTTACTTTAAAGTATATTTTACAAGGCACGCCGACAGCCAACAGCCCGACAGCCCGACAGCCCGACCGCCTGACAGCCTGACAGTCCTCCACTCGCATGTGCTAAGCAAAAGGCAAACAGGCTGCCACAGCCTGCGACAGCGACTCTTAACCTCAACACCCGCCAGATACCCTCTCTGCGTCTGCATGGAGCTAATGTGCGTTAACCTGGCTTTTGGCTTCCCGTTACAGCTGACGTTTTTATTAATAAGCAGCAAGCGAACTTTGAGCACATTTGAATAGATTCATAATTATTTCCGCTACTCCTCAAGTTATTTAAAATTTAGTTTAAATAAGAGTAAAACTCGGTCTCTATCTCCCTCCTCTCTCTCTCTCTCCCTCTCCCCTATCAATACTTTGAATCCCTTTGCATTAGTCAAAGCGTATGCGCTCGTCGTTTATGCCTTTTCTCCGGCTCGTTGCCCTAAAGTAGGCTAGAATTTGTAATATACATATACATATATGTATGTGTGTGTGCGTGTGTGCGTCTGTGTGTTCTTCTGTATTCCCACAATCAAATGCTCTGATACGACAGTTGGCTTTCGCTTTTTATTTTGTGTGCAGGCGAGTTTTTACGAGCGACTTCCGTTTGACAACGCAACATGTTTACCTACAAGACATTACAAGGCTGACAGACAGTGCCCGCCCCCTGAGCACGCCCCTCTGCCCGCTCTGCCCATTCACTACTCATACATTTTGTATACTTGGCTCTGGGGCATGCTACGTGGCGTCAATTTAATTTTACATTTTTCATTATGCTTATGCTGAGAGCGTTTCCCAGCTGAGAGTTTGCCATATGCCAGGAGGCTGCTGAGAGTGTGCGTCTCTCTCTCACTCCCTCTGTGTGTGTGTGTGGGTATGTGTGTGTGTGTGTGTTAGCTGTTAGCTGATGTTGTCTTTGCCATGGGCAACACTTAATTATGTTCATTATTTTCATGGCACGCGGTCTCAAAACGTCTTCGACTTTGTTTTGACATCCTTCCTTGTCCTTGTCAACTGCTTCCCTCTCTCTCTCTCTCTCTCTCTCTCTCCCCCTCTCGCTCGCTGTCTGCCTGCTGCTGCTGTTGTGGCTTATTTAAATTGAATTTTATGTGGCCCACTTTTTGCAGTGGCTTTTGCTTCTCTTTTGCCTTTGTCGCATTCTTTATTAATCAAGCTGCTTGGGCTATTTGCCAGGGACTAAATGAAATATTTGCCGCTGTTTTGCTTGCGCTCGTGTTTACCTGGCCCGCACCGCCCGACCCACGCATTGGCATTTATCATGGCTAGCCACGCCCCACGCCCTACTCCCTTTTCCCGTCCAGTCCGTTGGGCGAGCTGAGTTCATGTCAGAGCCTTCCATTTTGCAGCCATTACAAATCGATTTATCTTGGCTCGTCTCTTGGCCTTCAGCTCCTGCTGCTGCTGCGCCTGCTCCTTCTCCTGCTGGAGGTGCTGCTACTGCTGCTGCTCCTGCTTCTGCTGCTGACCGAAAACTTATTGCTCTATTAAGCGCAGCGCGAACAACGTCATCAACGTCATCGTCATTATCATTGCCCTCTCCTCATATCTTGTCTCTTCTGCTCTCTCACTCTCTCTCTCTCTCTCTCTCATTGCTCTCAAGGCTTGCTTCATTTATTTATGACCAGCTTTAAGTTAAGCTTTAAGACTTGACCAGGCGCATCTTATCTTCTCTTTCTTCTCTCTCGCCCTCTCTCTTTCGTTCTCTCGGTCACAGTCTCATTTATTATTTATGTAGCCTAAGCTTTTCCTCTTTCTCTCTCAGTTACAGACTCATTTATATCTGCTTAAGGATCTTTCTCTCTCTCTCTCTTATGCTTGCTCTACTTGAACTTAGCCTTAGCTTAGTTTAAATATGACTTGAATTTAAAAAATAATATTTATTAATCAATTAAATTTCAACTTTCTTCCAGAAACAAGCGAAAGGTACAGAACCTTCTACCCTGCAAGACAGCCACGCGTGGCACGCTGAACGGCACGCTGCCTCTGGGCGGCGGCGGGGGTGGGCACAGCGGTCAGCACCACCACCTGGCATTGTATGAGGATCCGGATGCGCACCTTGGCCACCATCGGCCGCTCGTGGTGCGGCATCATCAGTATCAGCACGCGCACCATCATCTCCAGCACCAGCACCAGCATCCACATCATCATCATCACCATCTTCAGCACTATCAGCAGCATCCGCACACAGAGGTTAGTATTTCGTTAATTCGTGTGATATTCGTATTGAAATGATCCGACAACTTACCCGGGTTCATGTTGTCCATTTGCCAAACTGTTTAATTGTCGTGCAGGAAGTTTACGTTGATTGTTGATTCCCTATTCAATTCATTTCTTTTCCTTTCTGTTCTTTTATTTATATTTTTTGTCAGGATTCGATGTCAGCTCCAATATCACGACAATTCCTGTCAAAATAGTGCAATGTCACTGTCAGCGTGTCACTCAGCCACATGCGCGCACACGATTATTCAATTCAATTGTTCAAATTGCGTAAAGTGAGACCAGATTTCCTCGTGCCTTTATTCGCAGCTATCGATTGTTCTATTGCTGTTGCTCTCTCGCTCTGTTCACACTTGAAATCTGAAAGAACTCTCACGCACACACACACACGCACACAAATCATATATGTATGTATGTGTGTATCATATGCATTATCTATTTTGCCTCTGGGTTTAATTCTCGTGCGTCTTTTGTGCCATTTTTACGACTCTCCCCGCCCCGACGAAACACTTCTTTCCGCTCTCTTCTTCCTCTTACTCCACTTTTGTGCGCCTTATCATATTTCTTGATACCTCTTTATGGTCCACTTTTTTCAGTGTGTGTGTGTGTGTGTGCTAAATATGAAGTGCGTGTTTATTTTATTGTCTGATAAACAGCTCCTTTAGGCCACGCTAGCAGGATGCACATCCTTGGCTCGGCTCGTCTCGTCTCAATCAATGTTTTACATTTTTGGCTGCATTCCCTTTAACTGAATCCTTTTCTGCGTTAACTTTACGCTTTTCATGTTCATAGCATTTTATTTGCTTTAAGCTTCGCCGTCGTCCTACTTCGTCCTGTTTGGTCCTGTTTACACGTTCCGTTTGACTCTGCATATTTATTATTCATTCCTTGCGGTATTCGCTGCTGCCTTTCGTCTTTGGTCGGCTTTGCGCTATTTCAACAACTTGTGCTTGCGCTTTACGCTTACCATGCTGACAAATACCCTGTAAAGCTGCTATGTGGGGTAGAGGGTATATGTATTCCTTTTTGAGCACATATTCTTAAGCTGTTTAATTCTCATATGAAAATCTAAACTATACCCTGTAATGACAGTAAGAGTCGCAGTGCTTTACAAATACCCTGTAAATGGTCATTATCATCTGGCATTTCACTTTACTCAAGTAACTTTTAGGCTGCAGCCATTTGCTATAGGGTATTCGCCAGTCGAGCATGTCACCAGATTAGGGTATTCGCCAGTCGAGCATGTCACCAGATTCTACTGGGTCCTGGCACATTTCACGTTGTCTTAAAGTTTGGCCCGAGGCTTTGCCAGCTGTGTTTTCTTGCGTAAATCGCTTACCACAAACCAAGAGAAAGTTCTAACTAACTCCGTCTCTCTCTCTCTCTCTCACTCTTTGTCTCTTATAGCTGCTGCAGGGCAAGAGCATACATTATCCCAGCGGTTATCCGATGACGCGCTCACCGCCCTTCCTCGTCAGCTCCTCGCCCGGCCCGGATCCCTACCGCTCGAATGACAACGTCTACGAGGAGCTCGGCCCCGGCCGCGTGGACTCCGATGGGGAGTCGGAGCCGCCGCTGCACTCGGACGACGACTTCGCCGAGGACGAGCTGTCGCTGCCAGGCGAATGCAGCTTTCACAAGGAGGCAAACAGCACGCCGCTAACGGGCGCCGCTGCCCCGGCCACGCCTTATCACGAACGCGCTGCGGGCAGCAGCACCAGCAGCGCTGCCGTTGCGAGTGCTGCCGCAGCAGTTGCGGCCACTGGCAGCCAGGTGGCGCCACCGCCACAGGAGCGGCACAGCGTGCTCAGCTCGAGCTCGTCGACGGCGCACGATGCCTCCACGGCCAGCGCGTCCACCAGCAGCAACCCCCACAACAGCCACAACAGCAGCAACAACAACAACAGCGACAACAATGAGCTGGCGAGCGGCGGCCCGCTGCGTCGAACGCAGCGCAGTCGGCAGCAGCGCGCGCAGGACGAGCTGAACAACAGCAGCTCCACGGCGGACATTGCGGATTTGGCGCCGCTGTACGACAATCGCAGCAACATGATGTCCCTCGGCTACTTGGCCCGCTCGACTGCGCCTCAGTTCTACAACACGCTCGAGCACGAGGTGGAGCGCCGCAATCGGATTAACGCGCAGCTCAGCCAGGCGCCAGCGCCGCCGTTGGCGACCATCTACCGGGAGCGCATCCGCTACCCGAGCGTGCAGCAGTATGCGCCCAACAGCGCCAATGGCCTCATGGCGGCCACGATGCGAGCGCGCACCCAGCCCCGGCTTCTGGATCGGCGGATGCCGGCGCATCAGCATCAGCATCATCGCATTCACGCCGCGCCGCTGGCCACCGAGCCGGCCTACGGGTATGCGGAGCCGATGTACAATGCCAACTACTACTACGACAGCGCCGGCGTGGGGCCCGTGGGCGTGGCTGCCGGTTCGGCGCGGCCCTATGCCTCCACACTGCTGCCCACAGCGGCCTCCGACTACAGGCAGCCCTACGGCGACTCGAGCTTTGGCTCCGACTCCGGCTACAGCCACCACACGCCCGCCAGCTCGATTGGACGGCAGGACTATGATCTGGCTGAGCCGCAACTGAAGCCGAGTAAGCTAAGCGCCGCGTTGAGCTTTGGCTGGCATCGGTCGAGAAAGTCCTCCGGCACGCCCACTGCTACAGCGACGCCCATCGCGTCGATCAGCAGCAACGAGGCGACCAGCCCCAACAACAACAGCGCCTGCTCCACGGTCACCTCGCAGCTGGACAATAATAATGCGAGCAGCCTGTCCCCGGCGTAGATCGGACAGGTATTGCACATACCCAACCAGACTTGAGCCAAAAGTGTATATAACATAAGAGAGAGGGAGAGGGAAAGATAGAGAGAGAGAGCCCTCTCCCTCTTCATGTACAGCCAGCTAGCAATAGTTCCTAGTATCTAAGCCCACTTCTGTATTTAGCCAATAGTTCAGTGTACTACAGACAAGTTCCCAACAATCTGTCTCTCTCTCTGCTGCGTGTACATCGTAAAAGCAATAGCCGTAGATAGATATGCTCTAGCTAGGTACTCCGAGCGCCCCCTCTTCATATGCATATATCCTATTTGGGGGCCTGCCATACATAAGTTAAAAGTCAGTTTAAATTCTAGATAACAAAGAACTTATAGCGCCTAAGTGTTTTTCCAATGTGATTGCCAAATTCTACAATTTAAAATAATGAACAACTGAAACAAAACAAACTAATTTATAACGTAATTTATGCATAAACTAACTTTTTAGTGTCCAACCTTAAGTCTATGTAATTTTAAATGAATTTTTAAGCTTTTGTTTGTTATTTTAGTTCTTAAGCAACTGACAAAAGGATGAACAAAATGAAAGAAACGACAAAAAATACAAAACGAACGAAAACAAAAAAAATTTAAAATCTAAAAAAAAAAAAAAAAACAAATATAAAAAAAATATCACAAAAATTAAAAAAAAAAATTGGGTTTTGAATTTTAGTTTTGCTGCATTATATTTCGTTTATTTAACATACAAATTTGCAGAGTGTTTCGGGAAGCCTTAAGTGGACTTTAAATATCTATATGAATTTTGTTATAAACAAAGACCATCGATTTTATTTTTAATATAAATTTGTTGCCTACTTTCGAGCGCAGCATGGGCTAGCATTAACGCCGCTAATAAAAGTGTAGCATACTTTTAAAGCGGTGCATAAATGTACATATGAAAATGTTAGTTAACATTGCGATATTTATGGAAACTGTTGGAGAACGTATTACATACTTTTAGGTCTTGCTAAAAACATGTTTGTTTAACATTTTGATTTTGTCGACCTTTTTTATGAAAGCTAACAAATTGCATTTACCGTAGCCTTTGCTTTGCTAAAGGGCTCTCACAAGACTGTTTAAATATTACAAACAAAATAATTAACTATAATTAAACTCTTATTAAACAATATATAGATTTATTCACATGCGACACAATAAATTGTACCATATTAGCATAGTGGATAAGCCGCTTGTAAACTATGTCAAACTAAGCACCCATTAGGTATATCGAGTGAAGACACAATACAACGTGAGGGGCTGACCCAAATGTTAATGGCCCCCGCCAATCGAGACACTTGCCAGGTTGTATCAGAACTGTAAATAGCATGCCAATTACCCATAGGCGAGTTAGAATCATTTCTCGACCTCCACATAAGCTAAGGACATGCAAAGGAACTGTACGATGCGAATGTTAAATTTTCCATATACTATGAGCACAATGCAATGTATCCTATAATTAGTAGTCTATACATATATGAATATATACATATATAACTAGAACTTGAACCCAACTATGCTGTACATAGAAACACACATATATATATACAATATAATATATAGCTAAGCGTTAAGATGGTAGCATTTAGCGTAGCCAACATCTCGAGCCCCTTCCCTTCTTGCCATAGAATATGCTTTGATAACAGTTCAAGTCGTTGTGATTTTTGTATGTATGTCTATAGATGGAATATCCCTAACTAAACGAAAAACCTAAAGAGCTAAAGCCAACAAGTTGAAGTAATACAAGAAATTATGCAGAAGCACAATCATTGAACGAGTGAAACGAAAAAGCTATCGCAGCCAGACAACCCTATAAATATATACATACGTACATATTCATATACTCAAACTAAGTCTATAAATAATACTTAGAGCTATTATATACATACATTCATATGATTTCAGCTTGATTGAGTCTAGTTTCTTGATTTCACGCTCTGATTTTGAATATTACATATCAATTGGAGATTTGGGCTTCTAGGCCCGCCTTTATGTAATATAGCACACCTGGTTTCCGATACTATCAATATCAGTACAAAAGAAAACAGAAAGCGAATTAAACTATCATTGTAATCTGAAATACTTTTATCAACCTCTCCTGTACATATGACGAGTCAATAATAAATGTCAAAGCGAATTTGCTGTAGTTCTTCCAAAATAACAAGAGAAACCAAGAAGTATATAACGGAACTTAAGTCTACAGTTAATCGATAACATATTAATCGATAGCGTATTAGAAACTTGAGTTCATCTAAGAGAAAAGCAATTTGTAAATAACTCCGTTCATTTGTTGATTTCCTTAGTTCGTATAAGCACTTTGACAGCATATCAGCGAGATCCTAAGTATACCGAAACTAACCTTTGTATAACTCGAAGAACTATTGTATGGAGGCTCTGTATTTTCTTTATCTTTTGATGAACATGCAAAAACGATTTAATCGAATTTATAATGTTAAACGCCAGTTAATCGTACATGAATATCAATTAAATTAAATTAAATAAATAAATGATTAGCGATTATGTCAGAAGCTAATACTAAAAAGATAGTTAGTTTATAAATTTTTTGTAAAACCAATTATCAATTAGTTCTTCTCTCTATAAGCAGATATGGATAATAATTAAAATCAAATTATGAATACAAAACAAAGTGAAATACATTGCATTCAATAAACAAAGGGAGGGTGTTAACAGCAGTCAATTAAACTGTTATACAACATGCTGTCAATAACATCATGTAAAAGACAGTCGCTAAAGGAAGGCAGCGCTGAGTGAGTAGCAGAGCGCATAATAAAGCGAAGCTGCCACAACAGGCATAAGTACGGAGCATATTTAATATGCGCGCGTGTGAGTGAGAAAAAGAAAAGAAATAACGTCAAGAGCGTGAGTGAATGAGTGAGTGAGGGAGTCAGCGAGCCGAACGGCAGTAGTGTGAGCGAGAGCTGTAGTTAATGTGCTTATTTTAAAATTTAAATTGGCTTGCGCAATGCGCACTTGAGCTGGCAGAGCCCACAAAATTATAAAAGAGTGTTTCGGCAGCGGCAGGAAGAACTACACATAAGAAGCCGCACTCACATGTCAGCCTGCTTGCCTTAACTTGTGTGTGTGTGTGTGTGTGTACACTCTCAACTGCTGCTAGTTTTCGTTTTAATAGAAAGTTTGCATTGCGCTTCACCCACTCGGGGCTTGCTTCCTTCTTTCTTTTTTGTTGCTGTTCCTTTTGCATAAAGCGCTCAGAGTGTAATTAACAGTTACTTGCAGAAAGAGAAATGTTTGCATTAAGATAAACAACTTAATTATTTTCCTTGGCTGTGCGTGCGAGTGTGTGATTGCATGTAAGTGTGTAGGTGCGCGCATATATGTGTGTGTGCGTGTGTGTTTCATCGCACTTTGCTGCGGTTGCCATCGGGCAGACGCTGCATTGGAGTAAGCGAGCGAGCTATATATATGCACTTGAGCTAGTTACAGTCGCAGGCGAACTTAACTCCAAGGCGGGGAGCTGTGTTAATGAAAGCATCAAAGCTAGTTGAGTAATTAAATACATGCATGCTTACTTTCGGCAAGTACCCATGTGTGTGTGTGTGTGTGTATGTGTGTGTGGGAGTCTTAGTATGCGTAGGTGTGCGTGTGTTATCAAGTGTGCCAATTAGTGAGCAGCTTTCAATTTCCTTACGAATAAATGAATGAATAAATGAATATGAGAACAAAATACCGAAATTCTTTTGCAGTAATTCGAACAGGTGCTGCATATATATGTACATATACATATTTTCCTATTATATTTCACATATATAAAATCTTATGAATTGAGTTGCAGCAGTGTGAAACATTTAATATTGTAATGAAATCAAAATTTATTTTATTGATATTCATTGGATCAATTTTCACACTTTCAAGCTTTAACAAAACACTTAAATTTTAAATCGAAACTAATTATGCTGCATTTGTTTATTTAATTGCTTTAAATTCGTACTATACCTTTTATACCAATTTAAAATTAAATTAAATGCAATAGAAGAATAATATACTAATTATTGAGGACTAATATTCATGTATAAAATTAAATATTAAATAGTTTTTCCGAACTGAATTCAATGTTGGTTAATATCTTTTACATATCTATAGTTTTATGTTCTAGTTGAAAATATTTGTTCATGTTTTTCGCTTATCACCAAAATGAATCAAAATAAATAGAACTGACCTTGACAAGAATAGAGGCGGACATGATATGGAATTCCAGATATGAAAAGCTGGACGAACAGGTAAATTTAATTAGTTAAGCAAGCATTTTAGTACACTGCACTGTTTAGCTCCAAGAAGTTCGGCAGAAGCCGTCGCAATCTATTTGAAATAATGAAATTCATGGACTTCTGTTTGATAGTTCCTTATCGCATAGCTTTGAAATGCTTTCAAAATTTGTAAGCGATAGTAAAGTATCTGATAAATATATATCTATATCTGATTATTCAATTGTGATGGCAACCGTTACAAAATCCCACCCTCTAAATAATTGTGTGTTATCAGACTTTGTTCTGGGAATAACTGAAAGGTTGAAACTTGATTAATTAAACATTTTCATACCAACTGTCATTTGTTACTTATTATTTATTGTATTTCCACGAAAGTGCGATAACCGTACTGAGAACTAGCTGTGAGCCTCTTGATAATTTATCTAATTACCACTTATGAATTTCATGTACATCTGAAATCTGAATTTAAAACTAATTTCATTTATCGCTGCAGAAAAGTTTTCCCTTGCCTCTAGCCCATATTTATACATATGTATGTATATATATGTTATGCATATCTATGCAATTGTGCTCTACTCCACTTAAGGTTAATCAAAACTTTACGCTCCCAGTCTGCTCGTCTACGTACTGGATGTGAGTTGTATTTAGCTAGATTTTCGGGTAGAGCGCTTCTATTATTAAAATTTTACACATGGCCCAATTAAATAATTAAGACATGCGAGACATGAAACACTTTTTGCTAACTTTTTTGGCACAACTGGCAATAGTTTTTAATTAAATAAGGGGCACTGGAGCTCGCACCTGAAACAAAGTTCAGGCGGTTCAGTTCTTCATGTGCTGCTGGGGGCGTGGCACTGGGTTCTGTAACGAGCTAAAATGTGTTCTCGAGTGCCAGAAAGTTTTCGTCTCGGGTGCCATTTAGCTGCCTATGTCCAAATAGTTGTAAATGTGTGTCAACTGTACCAGAAAGTTGTAAAGCACCCACTGCCCTCTTTCTCTCTCTCTCTCTCTCTCTCTCTCTCTCTCTCTCTCTCTGCTCCCCTTCTCTCGCTCACACACAAACCCTATTTTCGGATCTTGTAGCTCGTTTAAAATTAATGTGCCAGGCAGCTGTTCGACCTGTTTTTACAGCGTTCAACAAGACAAAATGGCGACAAGTTGCCGTTAACTGTTTACCGTTAGCCGAGCACAAGCTTTACCTCCTGTTCAACACTGAACTAGAACTAATTTGATAAAGAGAGAGTTTCTCAAAAGTCACCCAATCATTGGCTGTCTGCATGTGCAAGTAATTCTGCTGGAAGAAGACTGTTATAAATAATGGAAAAGCTCCCTGGATTTTTGTTTATCGACCAGAGTATACTTATGTTTGCCTACCACTTCAATTGGCAACAATTAATTCTCTACGAGGCCGCAGCAAATGTAACTCAATTGCACCTGTGGGTATTAAGAGATCAAGCGTTCTCTCATCACATGACACAATGTGCGCCAGCCATTTCTCAACACTGCCGGTCAGCTATGTAGTGCCGTTAATCAACACTGTTCGTATGTTTTTTTTTTTTATCAGAGCTATGATATCATATGATTAATTGACTGGTAATTAGCGCGATTGATCAGCAGTTCCCAGTTCAGTTTGACTGCCGTATGTCAGAGAGGGTTCGGTAACAGAAGCCAGGCCACACGCAAAGCATTTGCAGAATGTCTTCAAAGAGCGACGAATGGTGCTTCGGGCTGCTCTCGGTCTTCCTCTTGCTGGGCCTGCTGTGTGGTCACACGGTTGAGGCAGATGACAGTGGCACGACTGCCCAGGCCTGCAATGTGAGCACCAGCATGGCCCTTGATCTGCAGAAGGTAGGCGAACGTCAAGTGATCTTCGATTAATCCGAATGAGTGCTGAAGCAGTTCCACTATTTGTGTGTAGTTCTCGGGCATCTGGTGGGAGATCGCACGACAGCCAACTGGCTCAATGTTCTGCACCCAGATCAATATCACAGTACAGAACACGACGGAGGATAATGTGCTGATCGATTCGACCTATTCGAATACGATTACCTATCCGTGGGTCAATCAGACCATGAATGCAACGTTGACTATAGCGAATGATACCCCGGCAGCTGGCGGCTATAACTTTACCTTCTGGAATCCACCCCAGTATACGCCATATGCGGTGTGGAAGGTCTTGGATACGGACTATGACAACTACGCATTCGTCTGTGGCTACACCAACTCCACGGATAACTCGACGGCCTTTGCAATGATCATCGCCCGGAATCGAACGCTGTCGACCACCTACTTGGATAGTCTCGAAAGTGAGAGTTCCAGCCGGTATGATAATTTCCTCAACGGCAGCATGACTCTAATCACACAAGACGGCACGTGAGTATCGCTATCACTCAAACCGTATTTATCATATATTCTATTGTACATATATATATCTCAACTCTTTCCGCAGTTGCGAAGGAAATGGTGCTGATCCCTCGACTGCCTTGACAGCGTTCTATGCCATTTTTGCTTTGGTTATTTATGCCTTAACCAAATAGTGAAGAACTATTCATAAGTAGAAAATTTAAATGCTTTTTCAGTGTTGGTAAACACATAATAAATAAATTTCAATAGCATTTGCAAAATAAACATTGCAAATTAATAAATAAATTAATAAATTTTGCAATTATATTATTATTATTATTATTTATTTATTTTTTTTTAAATCTTGTAAGTATTATATCTAATACCAGTGTTGGTAAACAACTTTCTAGTTGTTGCTTACATCTAATGACCAAACTGTTTCCATGTCATTTTTCTTTTCGTTTGCTTTTATGATGACCTTGATGAAGCTTTAAGTGAGCAATAATAAAAATCTCTTCTATTCCTTCAATTTTGTCAAATTTGAGTAAAAATAAAGATAGTAAAAATCTTTAATAACATTTCTGGCGAAATACAATAAAGCCATAGATTGTTTAGATAGAAGCGGAAATATCGTAGCATATCAGTTTATATATGTTTACTCGTGGGCTTTCCGTTATTTCTATATCTAATGTCTTGTACTCAGTTCTGTGACGATGTGCGCAATTTATCGTTGCTGTGGTATCTAATTATCAAATACTATAAAAGCATTTATGACTCACGTAATGATGTTTTTGAGGTGCCACAAAACACTTTTCCTTTGTCTTTAACGTGGGTAAAAACGCGTGATCTTTATCTTATTCTAAATGTCTTACAAATAATAAGAGGAATGACCGTAAAGAACTGATAACATGCATAATATTATGACATTATTGATAACTCAAAGTCTCAATAAAATAAGATAGCGAATGCACAAGTTACGCCACTGCAAAAAGAAGAAATATATTTGGTGAGTAATTTAGCTTGAAATTGAAATTGAATTGACGGATCTAGAACTTCATTTCAAATACTTGTTCAATTGTTTAGTAAATAAACGAGATATCAGTTGATAACTTATTTTTTATTCTCTTTAAATACTTGAGCTTATTATTTGTGATAAAAGAACTCTAGCCAATAGCCATGAAATGTATAATTTATATATAATATATATACATATTTTCGTCAAAAAACTTGCCGTATCTTTTTAAGAGGCTTGCATCATATAAATAAAGAATGTACCGTAACAAAAAATTGCCCACAATTATCTGGCGAAAACTCCCTTGTTTCAAGTTTATCACGTAGTCTGTTTATAAGGCAATGAGTAAGAGGAGCTAGATTATATACATTAATATACATACATACATATATGTATGTATATGTACAAATTATTTGCTGATATTCCCAAAATGACAGTATTTAATACAATATAATAAATAAATACATTTAATGTTGTCATCTATTTGATTTATGTACATTTATGATAATATAATTATTCTTTAAAATTTAAAATAAAAAGAGACTAAACATTAACTTTTTTTTTTCTCAATCTTCTATTAAATAAAAAAGAAAAATTTATTGTATTTTTAACATATGATAATAAATTAATTGCATACAACAAAAACAAATTATAAACTACATATTTATAAAATACGTAAAATATATATTAATTTATAAAATGTATAAAATTTAAGCGTAAATTGAGCAGATTCCTCTTTCAATTAGTTGATGATAAATAAACATGATATCATAATTGAAATACATAAACAATTTACAAATAGATAAGCGAATGTTTTGGCAATAGATAATACTTGATGTATACCTGTTCGATGCTATTGTATTGTATTTCCCAAGCATTAGTCAATGCTGCTAATTTTAGAGGGCACATGTCGGAAATTAAAGGCTCAATTGTTTGATAGTTGAGCAAATAATAGGGCGGGGAATTTTGAATCAAATGAAGGTACATTCGGGTGCATGGATTTTATACGTAATATCTTAAGCCAATGCGCTTAGTCATTCAGCTTGAACCCCGAATGGAGAACGATAAGAGACGTCAGTCAGAGTCGAAAGTAAGCTGCAGCGAAGACTCACTATCTGTGTGTGTACATGTCGGTGTGTGTGTGTGTGTGTTCGTGTGTCGATAAGGCACAGCATTTTGCGTATATCTGACTGGCATAACTATAAAAGCCACAATAGCAAACGGCGCACCGACAGTAAAACGAGTCAACTCAATCGAACCAAACCGAACCGAACCGAACCGAAACGAGGTTATCGAACGCGTCGGTCAGGATATATAAATAAGTGCAGCGATAAGCCGGAATATAGCAAAGCGAATACCAAACAGAAATGATGTGGAAAGTTGTGATTGTGCTCGTTGCGGCCTTGGCCCTGGCCTCAGCCCAAAATCAGCCAACCGGACCGCAGACCTGCAGCGCAGCAGGAGTGCAGAGCTTGGACTGGAATAATACCGCAGTAAGTGTGGCGGATCTTTGTGCGAGTGGAATGAGTATTGCAGCGGCGGTTGCTCTTTGTTCTTGTTCTTGCCTCTTTAGCTGTTCGGCCGTTGGCTGGAAGTGGCACGCAATCCCCTAGGCGACGCGCCAGCCTGTTTGGAGTTCAACGTGGGCCTGTTGTTGGACAACACGACGTTGAGCATTAATGCCTCCCACTCGAGCTCCATCGCGTCGCTCTACTCGAACATCGATGAGACGGCCAAGGTGGTGCTGACGCCCAATGCCACGACTGGCTACAATGTCACCTTCTACCAGGACAATGCAGCGCAGCCGCCCGTGTTCATCAAGCTGCTGCAGCTCGTCAACAACACCTACGTCACAGGCTGCGGCTATACCGATCCCAATAATGCGAATACCAGCTATGGCTTCATTCTGGCCTTACAGGGCAAATACGATGCCGCGGGCATCAAATTGGTCAACGACCAGGCCTTCCCATTGTACAGCAATTTCCAGAACAACTCATACGCAAACATCACACAAGCTGGGTAAGTTAGTTCACAATAGCTATACTTTCATTATCGTTTTCTATTTCGTATTCATTTCATATTAATTATTATTGAGGCATATTAATTATCCCTTTATGGGATACAGCCTTCGTAGTCCCCTGAGCTTCTTTAAATTTCTTTTGATTGATACGTTGGGTATTTCCAAAATATTTAGCATGATTTTAAAATTTTATTTATTTATATTTTTTAGTAATTTCCTTTCTATTTACAATCTGTCTTGTATAAAACAATAAGCAAATCTTTAAGCTACAAAGAGATCAATCCATATATTTTAAAATAATTTCAAATATAAATATCTCCTTATGAATATAACTATAGAATTAGCAACTCGCAAAGTTTTTCTAAATAAAAATAAATTCAAATTAAAACAGAATCCATCTAGCCTGAAAGATGATTTCATATATTGAGCGTTTTGCAACACTATTGTTACAGTAATAAACGGCTGACTCATTCCCTTTATTGTAAAGTTTCGAGGAAATATTTATCATTTGGTTAATAGTGTCGCATTGATTTTTTGTTCAGTAATTTATTGATAAATTAAATTAAATAATATTATTTCCTAAAATCAATTTAAAATCAATTTGTAATTTGTTTTCTTGCAGTTGCTACAAAAGCTCGGCCACCCAGTCGCTGCCAATGATCTCTGGCATCCTGGCCGTGGCTCTGCTGCTGATTAAGGCGTACTAATAAAGGGAAAAGCCAAATTGCCGAGCTCGTTAACTTGCTGGCTTGCTACGCGTGTGTATTGGATTGACTTTTATTTAGTTTTTAGTGTTTATTTAAATTTGGAAATCGTGTCGTGACGCATCTAGGTAAAAAAAAAAAAAAATAAAAAATAAGACATGTAAAAAAAAAAAAACCCTAAAAACGATCATGTGCTTCGGTCTTGTCGCTTTCATTGAACGAATGTTGTTGCTTTTGTTATTGTTGTTGGTTTTTAGCAATCGACGCTTTAATTTGTACGCGACAAGTACAAAGCACGCGAGATAAGATAACAAAAAGCGGGCGACAGCACGGTGCAAAGATAAAATTAGATAGTCAAACAGGTCACCCACAAATAAAAGAGCCTCGAAACAGCAACAACAAGAGCAACAACAACAGCAACAACAACAGCAACAACAACAACAATCGCTACAACAGCAACACGAAAATTCGCTAGTTCACAAGTGCGTTGAAAATCAATCATACGCCCCGCACACGCACCTTTCAATTTAGCGAGCAAACCTTATCGGCAGACAATAAAACATTTCATAGAATTTCCCCTGATTGATATAGCAAATCACTCAAATCATTGGATTTTTATTTTTATTGAATATAAAGCATATATGTATTTATTATTATTTTTTTTTTATGCCATGCCATTAATTAAAGCGCTTAGCCACGTCCCACACTCATTATCAATGGGCAGCAATAATTGCTGGCATTATGTGGGCGCTTTGATTGAGAGCTGCTTGGTAGCTATACACTAACCAATATTGCCCTAATTCTAATGGGTATTTTTTATTGTGTCATGCGGTTTAGGTTATGGCATAAAATATATTACACATTATCGAATTAAAGCGAATTATCCGAAATTAATTAATGAGGTGTACAAAGAGCTATAGGAAATTTTCAGAGTATATAACTACATTAAGGTATGATTTTAGTTGGTGTATACAATTGAAAATTGCTTAAAATACACTTAGTAATAAGTACAAAGATATGCGATATATATTCCAATAAATGAATTTCAATAACATCGAATCGCCCGACCTACAATTATTGGAAGTAAACCAATCCAGGACCATTATTGCTGTACTCTTCTGTAATTGCCTGGTTAACTGCTACACAAACAATTTTTGTATTTACTCTAAACAATGCAAAAATTATTAATTACTGAAAATCAGCGCTGACCTTAATCTTAGCTATAATAATAAAGTAATTAGTCGGAGCAATGATGTTATGGTTATTAGAAGTCAATTAAATGCATTTATTGGCGCCACAAGCTTACGCGTATCTTTTCTGAATATGTCGAAAATAAGCTTTAATGGTTGATTGCGCCTTAGGAATAACATTGTCTCCATATCTAAGATTTAAAAAAATGCAATTTGATACCGCTAATGCACGTGGTATTGCAATTTTAAACATAAATTGCAAAAAGGTATTAGGGAGTATTTGAAACAAAAAATGCAGAAGATTTCTATAAAAAGCTGATTGCTATATATATTAATAGCTTGATTTGAAGGAAATAATAATAAGATATACTTTATTTCCTCTATGCCTTTTGCTGCCTCTTACATACATGTCAGGAAAACCAATATACCCTGTCATCCCATTTTGAATGGGATATAAAAAGACAAAGTGAACTCGATTGATAAGCAAACAACCAACTCTTGAGGCACATCATTCACAGAGTTGTCTGGCAAATGGAATTGCGTGGTATCTGCGTGAACTTGAATGCCAAAGTGTGCGCATTTTATCGGGCCTCACCTGTCTGATAACGATAACAAAATAAACTGTCATGTCAGACGCAAAACTAGTCGGAAACGGCGGACAAAGGCGATGGAGGGAGGGGTGGGGAAGGGAGGCACCTTGGACGACTTAAGACCTACCTGAGTTGGCACTCAGTCAAATGTCGTTGGGTTGACAGCTCACCTTAATGACAGATTCTCACAGTTCCTGAAGGCATTTAATTGTGTTGCGAGTCGGACAATCCCCGGCAGCTGCTTTGTTTACATTAGGCAAATACTTGAAATTGCTGGCCAGGATGTGAGCATATCCTTTGGATATGCTCCATTTGCTGACATCGTTCTCTCCCTCTCACTTTTTATGCGCTTATCAATTTTCGCTTAGCTGAGGGTTAGCCAACTCCTGTTGTGGCTGTTCCTGATGCCTTGTTTGCTTATTTGCCTCGATTCAATCAACACTCAGTCGACCGCCCATTCCCACACACTGAGCCATAAAAGCAAACGTGGCGCAGCTAAATCACGCAACACTTTCTTGCTGAGCATTTACACGCATTCAGCAGCTCGAGCAGGTCCTTGAGCTAGTCCTTGTAGCTGCTGCTGCTGGCGTTGCCCACTTATTTTGTGTACGATTTCTTTTGTTGGCACTTGACCCGCGGCAAGCCACATCTACAGCAAATCAAACCCAAGCCCCAGACGTCGTCCTTTTGGTTTCGATCTGCTTCGTTGCGGTCCTTCGTTTGTTTATGTTTATTTGTTGATACAATTTGGTTACATTGTTTGCTTACAATCTCTCAATGTGGTTCTTGTTTTCTCAGTTCCGTTGTTGTTGTTGTTGGTGTTGTTGTTGTTGTTGTTTCTACTGCTGCTGCTGCTGCTGTCTGCACATTGAAATCAACTTTACAACGATTAAGTAGCTGCTAAAATCTTTGCCAGCCAAAGCCAATAATAACAAAAGAACTTCTTCAATCACAGCGAGGCCTCGAGCCTGAATGAAAACCGGGTAGCTCTTGAATTGAGCCACAATGTAAATATATTACCAGCCATTGCAAAACAAACTCAAATCAAACAAAAAGTGAGTTCTTCTCTTCTTGGGTCAGACTAGATACAACAGATACATATATATAAATATATACACTATAACTGTAGAATGGAAAACGAATATATTTTTTCTGAGCAGACTGAGGTCCTCGAGATTTAAGGTAACATTAAATTATTTTAAATTTTAATTTATTCTATTCTGAAAATATTTTAAATATTATTTTTATGAGAGCTAATTAGATATCTTTAATTAAATAATCAAGTTATCTATTTAAATAAGGTAAACACTGTAATTACTTGATTATATGAATCTCTCTTAGCCTCTAGCATTGCTTTATACAAATAATTCATCATAAATCATATGAACAAATTATTATGAATTTTCTCCCAAAGGGAGCTCTTCAATCATTGCATTGCATTGACATTTTCTTTAGCAGATTCTGGGCCATAATTTGCTCATCTATATGAATATATGCCGATGTGAGTTCAGTCATCAGCAGCTACTTAGAGCCGAGTGCCTGCTCATCAGGCATAAATTATCCGACTGCAATGAATATTTATGGAGCTGGCAAAGTCATAGCAGTCAAGAGCGGCTATCTGTGTGAGCATCTGAATATATATGAATGTATGTATATCTCATGCATACTCAGATGAATGCCGAGGTGAGTACCGCAAAACTGTTAATTGAATGTAAATGACTCGAGCCTGAATGGATTCAATTACCGCACCTGTGGACATCAACGACTCGTCCACACATTCAATTTAACAAAATGCGTTTCGCCTCTGCCAGAGATCAAACTTTGTGTTTTTGTGTACAGTTGGCAGCCCTCCAATCTATGCAAATGCGCAGTCAAGTACTGCAATTTTCTTAGCACGATAGCTGTGCGTAGCTCAACATAAATTACCCACTTAAGCTTATACAACACACACACACACAAAGAGAGATGCCACGCAGCCATCCACGCCCACACATGCACACACGTCTCTTATTAACAGTGGTTCAGTGTCGGGCCTAGAGCATCAAGTTCACAACTTAAGACAAACATCGAGTGCTCAAGTGCAAGAATTTTGCAAGATTTCAATTTGTTTGATAACATCGCATCACACTCTGCCTCTGTCTCTCTCTCTCTCTCTCTCTCTCTCTTCCCCTCTTTCTATGTAATCCTTACCTTATCTGAGTAACAAATTTCTATAGCAACAATGGAAACTTTTCCCATTTAGACATTTTGCATGTACAACTAAAATCACTAAAATCAAATTGCTCAACTATTGAAATGATCTCGATTAGAACAAATTGTGGTGGGTTAATGAATGAGCTAAGTAGAGTTTACCAACTAAAGTAAACTATTGATATTTTACCAGCATATCAATCAGCAAACAAACAAAAATGATATAAACTGTATAAAAAATAAAAAATATATATTTTACATTTCTATATATATATATCAGTATACTCTATCAATATGGTCTAAGTTTATTGACATATATAAACAAATTAAAAATATTTAAAATATAAATTATTTGTTAATAATAGCTCCGATCTATATTCAAGGCAATCAAGCAGTATAAATATATTTTCAGTATATAGTATATTTTTGTGAACATGATTTTCGTCATGCTTTCAGTTGGTGTCATTGCTATCACTGTCAAGGCCCCTCTGCTGGCATGTTGACACTGAGATCTGCTGCTCTTCTGATTGGTCGAGTATTGGTTTTGCCTTTGACTGAAATGTCAACGACATGCGGTGTACACGGCCTATCCATGCCCATGTCAATGTCTTTGGCCTGCAGTGCCTCTGCCTGGGAAATTAATTAATAGCTTTGTCTGTCTGGGTGTGTGTGTGTGTGTGTGTGTGTGTGTCTGGGTGTTCATTCGCATATATACAAGCATAATACCCAGCCCGGAGCATTACTGTGTGTGTGTGTGTGTGTGTGTGTGTGTGCGTGTTTGCACCTTAAGCATTTTGGCTTTTGGTTTTCTAAGCACTTTGAGGATATTGTAGATATGGGCACGATTGCTATTAGCGTTGATTGGAGGGGCATCTTTGTTTGTCTGGCATTTGGGCAGCTTAGCTGGCTGCAAACCTTGTTGCGGTGACTGCCGATGGGCGACAGATAGATGTAGATGATTATTCGCAAGCTATAGCATACATAACTGGTATCCAGGGGAAACAGTAATTATTGGCCAATGCAGAATTTCGGCAATCAATTACGAATTCGGTTTAGATATAGTGAGATATACTTATTATAAAACGTTTAAAGAAACATTTTATCAAGCGGAAACATATATCAATATATATGGAAATGGTAGCAAAAAGAAGTATGGTTGATATTCCACAAGCCCCACATATAATATTGAGTCAATGTACTTTAATATAACTCTGGAAAAAGGAAATTATGATCAATCTCAAACAACATTGTAAATTCAAATAAATATGAAAATGCTATTGGCTATGAATAAATAGGTAAAACGATTTATAAAGTAAAAGGGCGCACTCTATCCGAAAGAGTAAATAGCCCATGAATATATTATTAATATATTAAACAATTTACATATTAAGCATAACTTTGACTTGTCAATGCAAACACGCGATTTACGCATTTAATTATGATTGCAATTACCCGTCAAAGTTTACACGAGACGTGTCAAACTGTTTGGCAAGCGAACACAGAAACACCCACACACACACACACAAGCTCACACACATTTGTCTACCAGAACAATTAAAACAATTAATTAAGTTCAAGCCCAACTCGCAACCGAAAAACGGAGCCCATTTCAAATGCCAATTACAATTGAAGCT